AATCTAGATGACCTTAACAGACTCACAATTCATCATCATCATCATCAACGTAGATGTTCATACTCTACGAATTGAAGCATCTTCAAAATAAGTGAATCACACCTCGAAATATAAAGATAAAAATAAAAATCTAAAATCCAATTTTTTTTATTTTTTATTTTTTATTTTTCAAACTAAAAAAATTATGAAAAATATAATCAATACAACCATATTCACTAAAAAATATGAAAGGAAAGTCTTCATAGCAAATCAACCAACACACTTGCCACTCTAGCAAGATGGAAAGGCAAGAAACCTTGCAATGTTCTACCTAAAACAAATTAATCATCAAACAAACAATAGCAACCAACTAAAAAAACCTTTAGGAAGTCTTACCACTCTCTTACTTCGGAAGTACTTTTTCATCTTAATCAACCACCAATCTTTTAAACAATCATTTTCATAAAAATTAATAATAACAACTTGAAGGGAAATTCTATAAAGTGTACTACTAAAAAAGGCACACATCATAAGAAAGTTAAGATTTTTTTTTTTTTTTTTTGAAGTAATGCTACGTTAATTTGTGGTAAAAGTTATGTATAGTGAATTTATGGTGTGCACCTAAAGTGAAAGTTATACTTTTGTGATGAGAAAAGTTGTGTCATTTTATGATTTGTTAAAAAAATTTGTAGTAGTGTTATGAAAGACATACCATATGCACCTTTTTACATAGCATCTCCCTAATTTGAAACAAATGAAATACTACAGAAAGGATTTTTATTTAAGAGTACTTTAGGAAGCTTCTTATTGTTTTCATAAATTATGAGCTATTCAATTGAGTGTTGTTGATCATTACGATCTTTTTCCATCATGATTGAACCCATTGAGTTAAATCATACCTATTGAATGGTAATGGTTCCTATAGAAAGCTATAGTAAAGCATCAAATTGAAGCATTGTTTCCCCTGCAGTTTACCAAAAATTAAGGAATCTCTATTCACAACAATGAAGGCATATTAACTCACTTCAATTGTTAGAAATAGTATACAAAAAATTACAAATAATTGGTTTTGTTTAAAGAACTAGGTTCTTGTGGCCCAGCTGACCAGTTTCTTATGGCCCAGCTGACCACATTTGTAACAGGTAATGTCTCCCTGAATGCTTCTCCCAGAGCCTGCACTGGGCACTGGAAAGGTCGATCTAGCAAAAGTACCCTAGGACTGCTGAGGGTGAGAACCCCTCTGCCTCTTACCGTCCCCCTGTCCATCCTGACTCCTCTTGGAGCCCCTCTGTCCCTCCTCCTCCTCCTGCATCATAATCTCCATATGAGCCGCAGCATCCACAAGGCGTCCATAATCCCGGGTCATAGACCCCCCAACTCTCATCTTGAGCCCACGCCTCAACTTCTTCTCAAATTCTAGGCAACAGTGTTCTTCAGACGCCACAAGCTCAGGTGCAAACCTGGACAACCTGGTAAAAGTGGCCTCAAACTCAGCCACTGAAGAACTCAGCTGCTTAAGCTGACAAAACTGGTCTCTCAGCTTCTCCCTGACAGCTGGAGATAAGAACTTCTCCTGGAAAGTATCTACAAAGGCCTCCCATGTGCCACCAATACGACCCCTCACAAACTTCCACCACTGACCCGCGTCTCCCTTCAGCTGGAAAGACGCCAAGGTCACCTTCAGAACCCCGTCCTCGATGCCAAGCATCTCAAACGTCTTCGTTGTCTGTTTGAGCCATTCATCCGCCTTAAGTGGCTCTTTTGGATCACCCACAAACTCGTCCGGGTTAGACCGGAAGAACTCCCTCTTCAAAAAAGAAGGCCTTGTATCTTTAACATGGACCTGGGCTTGATTCTCAACTTTGAGAATGCCCACAGACTCCCTGAATGCTCTTGCTATCTCGCGGGCTAAGACACCCATTGTCACGCCCCACTTTTTATTACTCGAAGTATTACCAATTTCATTTACTTAATTCCATTTCAGAGATAACATGCGAAAATAAACTCGTATATTCAACTCGTAGAAGTGAATAACATTGCTCTCATTCGTATGCAAGTAAATAGAACATGAGTATAATAAATAAATTGCCCATGGGCTTACATCATTAATGAATCAAGAAGAAGGGTGCAACCCTTTTACACATATGGCATTCTGCTAACACAAGAGAGGCCCCGTGGCCAACAAATAAGAAGATCCAAATCTTGCAGCACATTCAGCTCAACACCTGAAAAAGATTCAACGACATGGGATGAACATATAGTCCAGTAGGGATCTCAACATGGCCCTCAACAATAACAACTTACAGATAGCTATGATCATGAATGCCCAATCTTATACTGGAATAGTAATGTGACAATTTATACAAAATATACATAAGTATGAACTTTCTCGAAAACAGCCATTTCATTCAACGCTATAAGCGATTCATCTTTCCCTTTTCTTTCATTAACTCCAATCCTTCATAACATTAACAATTACTTAGGAAATAATCTCACTAAGCCTATTACTCTCTCTTCCATTTTCCAAATGACAAATTGACATTTTGGTTCGTTCCCAATACAATCATAACTATACATGCATACCTTTATAAAAAGGGAGATAACAACTCACTAATATGTATATAATCAACCAATGAGGTAACTTGGCCCTCCAAAATTGTAACCAACCAAATTCATGATATCCTCAGATACAATGGAACAACAACAACAAAACTTTGCTCTACCAGCTATGTGCGTAGTAAGCCAAAGATACACCTCTCACAACAACATACCAGTTTACCAGGTGCTAGCTGGAAGGGTGTGGTACCTTAGATTCTCAGCGCAGTTAGTTCTCCAGGCGCTAGCTGGAAGGTCACGATACCTCTGATTTTTAGCGCAAGGTATAACACCACCAACCAAAATACAACAGGGCATAACTAACATGCATAACACGTATACATAAACCATCAAGATACAAGCAATGTGTTAAAGTATATGAACACATAATTAATTCCCCCAAGTATACATATATGATGTATCTCAGCACTTCCTCACATACAAGGTTCAATCAACAATGGTATAAGGCATACACGACAATTCACCCCAACCATGTCATCCTCCACCGATGACCAAGGACAAAACCTCTAGATGCAAGTATTTAGTACATCTATTAAAGACTCAATTACTATGAGACCATAGACCCAACAACAACACTAACACGGTAGTTAAAGATACAACTCCCACGTATGTGTATTTAACACTCAAGAAACAACAATCCAATTTTCAGACTTATATCAAAGATACTTTTCTCGTTTCACAAAACAAATTCCATTTCCTTTTGTTTTCACAAAACCAACTCCATCCCTTTTGTTTCCAAAAAACCAATTCCATTCCTTTTGTTTTACAAAACCGATTCCGTTGATAATAAAGCCATAACTCACATTAGTCCACTACATTCATTTCAAAACCATTCCAAAGCCAAAGTTAATCCCTTAGGCATTAACACCTAGACCCAACAACAACACTAACACGGTAGTTAAAGATACAACTCCCACGTATGTGTATTTAACACTCAAGAAACAACAATCCAATTTTCAGACTTATATCAAAGATACTTTTCTCGTTTCACAAAACAAATTCCATTTCCTTTTGTTTTCACAACACCGACTCCATTCCTCTTATTCTTACAAAACCAATTCCATCCCTTTTGTTTTCACAAAACCAATTCCATGGGCAATAAAGTCTTAACTCATTTTAGTCCACTGCATTCATTTCAAAACCATTCCAAAGCCAAAGTTAATCCCTTAGGCATTAACACCTTCACCCAACTCACATTAACAATAGAGACTTACAACATAGGTTAACTACCCTTCATTTTTAATTTACCAAATCAAAATATAATTTAGGGCTTTTCTTCTTTCAGCCATAACATGCTAATTTACGCTCCAATTAGCCCAAAACAACCATCAATGATAAAATAACCATTGTCAAACAACCAACCCTAGGTTCCTTCTCATGATTTCAAACAAATGCAACATGGATATGATTTTCATGCAATACAAAACTGCCACATGTCTATCTATAGACGAAGTATTGAAAAAGAACAAGGAAATCCCTACCTCAAATGTAGAACCCAAGGAGAGGAAGAGCAAAACTCGGAAGTGCTCCAAATCCCAAATTTCTTGGATCAAAACGAAGCCCTCGACGATCAATACACTTCTTACAAAGGCCCAAGGTGAGAAAAACACTCATACTAGATCAAACCCTAGAGAGAAGTTAGGTTTTAGAGTGAGGAGCTCTCAAAAATTGGTTTTGGGAAAGTAAGAGAGAGAAAAGAAAAGTGAAAAGTGATTCAAAAAGTGATTTCACGGACTGATATAAAACAAGCCCGCTCGAGCGTACAACACCCCACTTGAGCATCAGACACAGGTTCACGATCGAGCGTCCAAAGATCCGCTCGAGCGTCGGATGCACCCTCCCAAAATTTTCTGCAAACGACCAAAATGTTGAGAGAAGGAAATTCACGCTCGAGCGTCCAAACTACCGCTCGAGCGGAGAGGCAACAACAAATGCCTGCTCGAGCGTCAAAGCGCCGCTCGAGCGGAGAGACCAAGACCTGGGCAAAATTCTAAGTTTTAAAACATAACCAACTTATTCCCAACTTGCCCAACACAAGGATGCACCCTCCCAGAATTTTCTGCAAACGACCAAAATGTTGAGAGAAGGAAATTCACGCTCGAGCGTCCAAACTACCGCTCGAGCGGAGAGGCAACAACAAATGCCCGCTCGAGCGTCAAAACGCCGCTCGAGCGGAGAGACCAAGACCTGGGCAAAATTCTAAGTTTTAAAACATAACCAACTTATTCCCAACTTTCCCAACATAACCCAAAACTCTAAAACAAAGAGTAAGGGATAGAAAAGAGGATAAGACAACAACAAATCTACGGAACCGAGTCCGGATTACAGTTAAACTACAACAGGGAATACCGGAATCGCTATACCCATAGCCTGCTGACCCACTGGTTCGACCACATTGGCCTGACCAACACCCTCCTGCTGCTCCGGAATCTCCTCCGGTATAGGCATCTCTTGCCTACCACGTCTTCGTCCTGACATCCTAATAAAGGTAACAAAGACGTTAGCACATTAACAAATGTGCCGAAGCTATAACACTCGCGTCCTAATGCACGGACAACTGTAATTCACTCCACGTAAGAACATAATCACATAAGCACTTACGAATTTCATTTCCAGATAATAATAGTCCCGAGGCATTGCTAGAGTTCCGGTTAGAAACAGCATTGATCAAGTGCTTTTCCAACAAGACTCATAGAAACTCAAGGATCCCATCAACATCCTAGAAATTAAATCACATACCCACATAGTCATATAAGAATGTTATCAAATAAACACATAATGTCATACATAAGTCTCTAACAAGCGAGACAAACACATTGTGATACTAATCACTTCCCACGTACCCAAAGTATTCAAACCTGGTACGCTCTGATACCAAGTTGTGACGCCCTCAAAATAATACATATAAACACATATTCAAGACATCCATAATTTAAGAGAATAAAACATAATTCTATTTATCAGAGTGTTCTAACAAAAGATACTGCATGTTAATGACAAAAGTAAACGCCTTACTAGCTTACAACTTTCCAAGCCAACACTTGGATATCAAAAAGTGAGTACTAACTCAATTACATATTAAGCCCTTATCTTGGATTTACATGTAATATCAAATAACAAAATCATAAAATAAGTCTTCAACTCTCAGAGCCTCCCAAGCTAAGTCCTTGGAGGTGGCATATCACCTGGATCTGAAAATGATGTCCCATATAGGGTGAGCCACAGCCTAGTAGAGATATATTAAACCAAATATAAGCAATGACTAAAGCAATAGCATTCGATAGATGGTTAACACTTATAAATCAATTAGATCACAATACAGTTTCATGACAATTATGTCTATGATACATTCCACTTTCGTTACTTATCCAACTTTCCGTTTATACAAACATGGCTCAGAACCTGGCCAAACAATAAATTGAGACTGCATCTCATGTTAAATTTACTTTCAATCTCAACAATTCAAATGAGGTAACAACTCAAATGAAACATTTCTGGAATTCAATAAGTACACATATTTGCTGTACTAATGGAGTTCATCCCTTATCTCCTCCCACACAGGTTTGAGAGCCCATCCCCTATCTCCTCTCAAACCACAGAGTACATCCCCTATCTCCTCCCAAACAATATGCATATACAATGTATTTAACACTTGACATATACACTAAGCAATCAATACACATATTTGTTGTATTAATTCAACCGTCATATTCAATGACACATTCAAATGTGATTAGTTTCAGTTCTCTCTAATCAACATACAATGTCTACAACAATCAAGACTATCCTCCACCAATAGCCCAAAGCAGTTATCTCTAAACAGAACATAAATGCATTAACAGATAAAATATTAACAGCTCCTTAGGTGAGTGATTAAATTATCCAACTACACCATTCCACAATTTCATAGATTTTCAACTCAATTCCATATTTTCCCAAATTAATTATACCAATTAATGTATTACAACAATTAGGGCATTTCCCCCTTTTATCAAAAATCAACCCTAAGGTTCAATTTCCTCAATTAGACATTAATGATGCCATTTTTCAAGTCTTACATCCACATGGAGTTTAATATGTGAAAACCCCATTTTTCCCAAAATTAAAAGTCAAACCCCAACTTTTCCCAAATTCCCAAATAACACCAACATATCAAAATGACCAAAACTTATGACAAAACCCATAAGATAGAGTAGGATATCCCTACCTCGAAGTTAAAAGCCCAAAGGAGTAGATGACCAAAACCCAAAGTGCTCCAAATCCACTATTGTTCAGATTAAAAGGAAGCCCTCGCGACCCTCTACCTTTCTTACAAAGAACTTAGGGTAGAAACACACTCTAAGCAAATCGATCCCTAGAGAGAAGATATATAGAGAGAGAGAGAGAGAGAACGGTTCTAGGGTTTTGAAATCAAAAGGAAGTGAAAAAGTGAACTTTTCCCCGCTGCTACCCACTGATATAACACAGGCTCGCTTAAGCGAAGAATTGGTCGCTCGAGCGACCAGACACAAAGAACTCTCGCTCGAGCGTAGGAAGTCTCGCTCGAGCCAACAAAACGATGCTTCAAGTCTGTAACCCAGAAGCACGCTCGAGCACAAGAATGCTCGCTCGAGCGAAGAAACCCAAAACATACACCTCGCTCGCTCGCTCGAGTGAAGGAAAGCTCGCTCGAGTGAAGAATTGCATCTCACAGGTCCAAAACTGGACACAGATGCATGCTTGAGCGAAGGACTTCTCGCTCGAGCCACCAGATACAAAAACTCAACTATCGCTCGAGCTAAGGAACCCTGGCTCGAGCGAAGGATCTAAAACACAGAGCCCGCTCAAGCGACAAAAGTCTCGCTCGAGCGAAGGACCAAAATTCTGGGCAGTAACCACTTGCTCCCAAACACTCCCAACCTATAATAATCCTGCCCATAATATCCTATAACTCAAATACAAAGTTTTGAAGGACAAAAACAAGATAAAAAGAACTACCGACATCTACGGAACCAAGTCCGGATACAACAACCAAAGGAGGAAGAACCGGGATCGCTATAAACAACTCTTTAGCTTCATGTAGTAGGCCTTCTTCGCAAAGACCTTGTATCATCATAGTGTATGTCTTAACATTAGGATCTAATCTCTTGGAAGAAAGGTTACTGAAAAGAGCCCTTGCAGTATCAAACTTTTTATCCTTGCAGAATGCATTAATGAGAATACTGTACATAACAACATTAAGATCTAAACCATTCCTTTTCATCATATGGAATAATGACAATGCTTCAGAAATATGCCCATTTTTGCACAACCCATCCAATAAGATACCATAACTTTGAGAATTTGGAATTATTCCTACAGCTTGCATCTCATTAAAAAGTTTTCGAGCAGCTCCACATTTACTTGATCGAAACAAACCTTGTAGCATAGCACTAAAGGTTTCGGTGTTAGGTTGCAACCCCATTCGAGGCATTTCTTGAAAGAGATGCATAGCCTCATCTATTTTCATTTTCTTGCAATATCCATTTATTAGAATGGTATAGCTAAAAACATTAGGGTGAAGGCCCCTCTCCACCATGGTATTGAACACTCTCGTTGCTTCATCGATGTGGCCTTGCAAACAATATCCATCCATTAGAGTACTGTATGTGACTACATCAGGATGCACATCTCTTTGTATCATGACTTCAAGTACCCCCTCTGCCTCTTTCATCTTCCCTTCCTTGGTACATGCATCCAGCAACACACTATACATATGAACATTCGGAGCAATACCACGATCCAACATTTCTCTAAACATTCCGGTAGCCTCCTTCCACCGGCCAAAATTACATAGGCCATGAATCAAAGAAGTATAAGTGACAACATTTGGGAAAATACCCTTTTCATCCATTTTAGAAAAGAGTTTGAGAGCATCATCCACCATTCTATCCTTGCAAAGGCTGTCAATGATTGTGGTATACACTATGGTGTCAAGTTTACAGCTTCCCTCTTTCATTATCCTTAGCAAACTAACAGCCCTGATAGTGTTTCCCGTTCTACAGAGCCCATTAACAATGGTTCCATAAATAACCACGTTGGGTTCAATTTCTCTCATTCTCATTAATTTCTTGAATAACTGCATAGCTTCAGGAGTTTTATCTTGTTGAAGGTAGCTACGTCGGGTGTATAACCACGTTTGAATAGGGTACCTAAAAGAGACAACTCGAAATTGACTCGCTTAACGTGGCAACAACAGTTAACAGCAACGTTGAAGGTGAAGAGATCGACCTGAATGCCTAGAAAATGCAATTTCCCAATAAGAGAAAGAGCGATGCCGTAATGACCCATTTTCAAAAAAGGACCTAAAGCTTTGTTGAAATGAGAAATGGGGGGCAAAGGTCGCATTTGGATCATGCGATTGAACGAGTTTATAGCGTCTTGGAGATCATTGCATCGAACAGGAGGAGAACTAGGGTTCCGGGTAGTAGTAGAGAGAGAACGAAACAGAAGAAATAAGAATAAAGAGGGATGATTAATTAGAGAGGGAAATATTGTACCTTTTTGACAATTATGATCAGCAATTCTTCTTCTTCTTCTTCTTCTTCTTCTTCTTCGTCCAATAATGGAAGAAACAGAAACTCTTCTTCTTGACATCTTCTTCAAGCTGTGTAAGTGCGAGAGAGAGAGAGAGAGAGAGAGAGAGTGAGTGTGTTTGAGACACAGACGGGAGGAGGAGTTGTATACAAAATATTTAGGGTTTATTACACTTGTACCTTTAAACGATAATCAAATTGTCTATTTAATTGTTGAATTATCAATTGTGTTTATTAGATCCTAAATATATAAATCAAAATTTATTTAATCTCTCAATTATCCATTGAATTCATTAAAATTTTAAAATATTTAATTAAAACTTATATAGTTCCTAGAAGGATTATAAAAATAAAATATAAGTCCATAAATATTATAAATTAGTAAAACATCCTATTTAGTTAAAATTTTATTTCAAAAAAAAAAAAACCTTAAATTTTTATTCTGTCTTTGAAAAATAGGCGTCAATCCATATATTGAATTTCCTCTATAAGGATAAGAGTAATTATCTATAGTATTTTTTTACTTATCTTCCGTAATAGATAGATGCTTACCTTAATATCTAGTATTATATGTCAGATTTCGTTTATAATTTTTAATTGATTATTTTTAAGTTTTTTGCTAATTTCTTTTTATTACTTAATTAATGTATTATTTTATTCTATTACTGTTTGTAGAGAAGTGTTATTATTTAAACTATCCAATTCTACTTCTTCAGTATATCTAATATTCATATAATCTATTGATAAGACTGAAAAATAAGACTCTAATATTAATTTAAACACACAACGAATAAAGTATCTTTTAAAGATAAAATAAAAATTTAAAAGATTTTTCTATAATAAAATCTTAATTGGAGAGGGTTTTTACTAATTTATAATAGGGGAAATTATTGAAAAGTCCTGATTTGAAAAATGTTGCACCAGTTGGCCCCACGGTCCAAATGTTTGATTGGCAAGTCCTTTGTAATGATAAATTGTAACCAATAAGTCCCGTTTCAAATGTAGCTTCGTATTGGTGGGACAATTATGCCCTCTTTAGTTTATTTGCAGGAAGTTCGGTGGTTTTGGAATGTGCAGCCCAATGTTTGGATTGAACAAGCAAACGTGAACAATGTCATAGAAGATGGACTGACGAAGCAAACGAAATAAAAATGGTAGATCAACGTGAACAATGTTAGGAAGGAAACCAGCGAATAAATAAAATCGACGTGAACAATTTTGGAAGGAATCCGGCAGATCGACTTTGTTGACGTGGTACACCGACTTGACGATGTTCACGCTAGAAGCAACAATGGCGGACTGTCACAGCAGATAGACTGGCCAAGCAAATAAAATCAACGTAAACGATGTTAGAATGGATTCCAGTAGATCGACTTTGCCGACGCGGTACACCGAATAGTTAGGTTGTTAAATGCAAAGACGAAGTCGAGACTGATGGACCCGTCAAAGCAAGATCAGAGATCTTAAAGGATGATGAAATCGGCTCTTTTGCCTGCAGTTTCTTGTGAATCAAAAGTACATAAACAAAAAATTGGTGTCATGCATCTCTTATCACGCAATTTCAAATGAAAATTCAGAAGGTAAGAATTTAAATTTCAATCAATCAATCCACATCAAGAACACAGATTTTTAGCATATTCTAATAATCAAACCTTTTTGCCGGAATTGTCAAGAAAGAAAACCCGGTAGTCTAGGGTTTCAAATTGGCCTTCCTCTTGGATATGAATCTGGGGCTTATACAGAGCACTGCAAGTGAATAGCCTCCTCTTGGGTACTAATTTGTTGTAGTTGTTGTTGTTGAAGATAAGATTAAAAGCTTGAGATCTTCGCAATGGCGTCCCTTTGAAGAGTAAGGCAGTGGTGGTGGTGGTGAAGGTGGCGTTGGTTGCTGCTGCTGCGGCTATCACTCTGGGGACCACCGCCATTGTTGATTTTTCTATGAACTCCAAAATCAGAGAGGGAGTCTGCGACAACGAAGAAGAAATCTGGTAGGCTCGGCTCTTTCTCACTCTCAATTAGTAATTTTACAACAAAACTATGACGTTATGGTCCTTCTTTGGATGAAGATTTGCCTGAAGAGTACAAGATGATGAAGTTCAGTTTATGGTCTGTGATTCAATTAGTGAGTTTGATTTTGATTATTGGTGCTTTAGCTTGTAGCCTTGCAATTCCCAGATTTAGGAACAAAAGATTGTATGAACTTGAATTGTAGAAATGCGAACTCATGATTTTGGTTCTGATTTCGGGTTGTGAAAAATCCGAAATGGAAATTTGAAACCATTTCAATGTGTCTTATTTTGTGTGTTCACGTCACGTACGAAACAACACTATGACGTTACCACGTTTCATTTCTACGCGTGTTACAAACCTACTAAATTAAAAAAGGTATTAGTGCGCTTTTCTGATCAACGTGACACACAAACACTCATTCACCTTCCCTATACAACCCACGCCAATCAACCGATAATACTAGTAGTGGTAAAATAGTCAACAAACAAATTAAGGGACCATTCAGTCACCAAGAAAACATTTAGGATCTCATGGATTACAAGTCCACAAAATGGGATTTACTGGTCAATTCCCCTTTATACACCCGTTTGAACATTAGGGCCCAATGCTTTGTCAAGCAAAACAACTTCACATGGAAGCTCCGTCTTCCCTCAGATGCCACAAGTAGGCCTAACGACTCAAGTGCACCAAGCACGGCATAAGGCGCCTCATAGCACCAAGCTTACCTCAAGCAAGGTGCTCGCCCAACTTAGGTTTATGTCATCAAGGTGCCTAGCCACACAACAATGTGCTAGCGAAAGTCCTCAACTTAGCCGACAAGCCAACATTGCATGTTGGGTCTTTGATAGCATCTCGAAGTGTCGTAGGGTCAAGCATGCCTCAATAGATGCATATTGGATGGCCACTTGGTCATGCGAAGCCCATAAGCCACCGAGGGTCAATCTCTCGCCCACGGCGTAATCCTCGTGCCAACACGTGTGTTAGATTCCGCCTAAGGCCATTGTGCACCTTAGCGTTGCACCAACGTGTAGCATAAGAAAGGCAACGTCTCAATCCGTAGCTTGCTTGTAGCATAATGTAGTCCCTCAATGGACTTAGTCAATACGTAGCTTCATGCCTTCATTCGATAGCCCACATATGCGGTGTTGCCTTCCAACCGCTTAGCTTAAGCCACGAGATCCCCTCGTGCGAGGTTGAACCCAAACCAAGCACTTGAGTTGGCACACGAGGCCTTTAGCGATGCCTCAATAGCCCATTTGGTCCAAAATGAGTCCCAAAGATGCCATATTGCGTGGCATAATGGAAGCAACGTAGTAAACCTCTCCTTCGGGAGGGTGCACGAGTGCCTAGATTATTGTACCGTCCACGAGGCTCCCAAACCCATGTGGAGACTCTAGACACCCCTCTGGATGCCTAAAGCCCTCCCTTGAGTTGCCCCAAGGTTGCTCACTTGAAGCCTAGTTTGGGCGGGGAGGTAGGTAGGTAGCACACCTTGCCCCCTTATATATGCTTGTTAAGCAATTTGCCTTCCGGCAGGAGGAAACATCATATATGTCCGAGGAGTCATAATGATTTTTCATAAATTCCACAAATTGAGAAAAATCACGAAACTTGGTCCATGACCTTTTTCTAGTAACAATTTCAGCCCGAAACTCCTTCGTTTAAATGCTGAAACAACACGTCAAAATTCTGCACTGTTGGCTGCTGCTGCTGTACTTTGTTGCTGCTGGCAGTGCTGTTTGTTGCTGCTAGCAGCGCTGGTTGCCTATGGGCATGAGCTGCGGCTTTGCCATTTGCTGGCTATTAGTGGCCTACATGCCTTGGGCTACTTGGGGCCAAAGTTAGGCCACGTTGGGGCACTTCCTATGGCCACTCTTGAGCACTCAAACGACCACACCACCGCGAGCGAAACGTCACGGAGTTAGCCTTGCAAGGCAACCCGTGACACTCTTCTCTACTCCAACCATCAACGTCCTCGTTGATGTAGCACAAAGCTGATGCTGTAGTGCATGTACCGGCTCCTCTAATGAGTCCAACACCCCTGTGTTGATGGCCTACCTTCAACGTCCAACTCTTTTAGCCAAGCTCCCCTCATTGTTCTCTACTCGAATCCAACTGAAATGCACTCCACTTGTTGCACCCTCTGCTGGCAACTTTTCTCAAATGCCTTCTCTAAAAATGGCCTCTACCAAAACACCTCTGAGCGTCTCTAAACTTTTCCCTTTGCCAATGCTCTTGAAATGCCAACCCCTCTTCTCAAATGGCCACTCTGCCAATGCTTCTCCAAGCAAACTCAAGCTCCTCTGAGCAAACTCATGCTCCTTTGAGCTGACTCCTCTAGACGATGTTCCTCTAATGATCCCTCATGCTCCCAATGCTCCTCTGAGCTAACTCACAGTGGTTCGTTGCATTGCGACTTCCTCCTCCACTCGAGTTGTCGACGCCCTCGTCGACTCAATGCAAATCAATAGTTGCTCCTCAAAATGATTAAACAATGCCCTATGGCAAGCACAAAGCCCTCTGGCAAGCACAAAGCCCTCTGGCTGATATCTTCAATAAACTCAAGTATCTATGTACTATGCCCTCTGGCGAAATAAAAACCCTCTGGCTGTTGTTCATTAACAAGCTCATGCCTTTGAAGCTTTCTGGCTGATGCCCACTGGCAAGCCCTAATCTCTGAAGCCCTCTTGGCTGTTGCTCTCTGGCAAGCTCAATCTCTAAAGCCCTCTGGCTGTTGCTCTCTGGCAAACTCAAATTTTAAAACACTTTAGCTGAAGCCCTCTGGCAAATTATAGGCCTCTATCTAATGCATACTTTGCAAACTCAAATTTTCTCATGCTCTCTAGCAAAATGAAGCCCTCTGGCAATGGGTAGCCTTCTGGCTAAATATTTACTTATAACCCAAAACTTCAATGCTCTTGTAAAAGTGTAGCCCTCAGGCTGAATTAAAGCCCACCGGCTTTGCTCAACTCGCTCTTTTTAACAAAGTGTAGCCCACTGGCTGAATATGCTTTTATAACTCAAAGCTTTAATGCTGCTTTTAGAAATGTAGCCCTCTGGCTGAAATGAAGCCCACTGGCTTTGCTCAACTCGTGCCCTCTGGCAAAATGTAGCCTACTGGCTGAATCTCGTGCCCTCAGGCAAGCCCTCCGTTGTAACTTATATCTTCTGGCTAGAATTTAACTCATGTTGCCCAGTACCTTGACCACTGCCTTCACTCGAGTCAGTTATCTCATCAAGCTCAAAGATTTCGCCTTTCAAAGGCTCACCGCTCCTTCCACCCACTAAGCTAGCCATTTCAACAATGATGCTCAAAACGGTGCGCTGATCTTGGCACCAAATTATGTCTTGACTTTACAATCCCGCTACACGGTTGTCCCCCAACAACGGTGATTTCATCCATCACCCCGCTCTCTAGTAAGCATGTACACTCGGTGCCTGGGCACACGGGAGTCAAGATCTCAAATTTTGTCTTAAAAATTTTCCGAACAAACCCTTTAAGACGTCAACAACCATGCGTCTGAAGACGCAAAACCATTGACAAGCACAAGTTGCAAATGCCACCACGAATGGTCGAAACATAGGCCCCCTGAAGCGAACTAGTGATAATGCCATAGCACGTGCACGACTGCCAACGAAAAACCGTCTCTAAGACTCAATAGATGAAGATCACATGCCCACAATCTGATACAAGCATTCCACAAGTCCAAACTGTAGTAGAGGTCCCCATGTAGCCAACAAAGTAACACAATCATGCCAACCCTACTAGTTAGGAAGCAACCCGTCCACAAATGTATCATACTTGTTCCACATTGTGCCCACAGTGTAGAAATGCTCACCAAGTCCACAAAGTGAGAGGGAAACACCAAGTTAGCAAGGAAACACTAAATGTCACAATGCTGCTCAATTCGTACCCTCAAGAACGGTTGCTGCGTTCACGGCATCGCTGAAAAATAACACAATAGGCACGAATACCCCAAGAGTCTAGGATGTCATACACGCCGGTATCATATTCAGAGTTAGCACGAGCTCTTTGGTGTCCCCAATAGCTCTTAATAAAAACGAGAAGAGTTTGATCTGCGTAGACTGACCTTCGAGAACAAATATTGGACTGGGAAGAAAAAAGGGGAAAAAGTAAAGTCTAAGTGCATATGGCACGAAAAGGAAATCCGATTTCGGTAAGACTTGATCTGAATCGTAGTTATGGGAATATATTTTATTTTTGTAATCCTTTTAGGGACTAAATATTTTAGAGACTTAATATATTCAATCGATAGTTTAGAACTAAATAGACTTTGATTTATATAATTGATAGTTCAGAAACTAAATAGATAATTTGATCATAGTTTAGCGGTAGAAAGTGTAATAAATCAAAATATTTATAAATTCGTCAAAAAAAAAATTATAGCTTTAATTATTAAAATTGATAAATTTTATTCTTAATTTGAAATTATTTTTGAAAGCATACATTAATGGGATACTTACGTAAGTGAACTTATTATCTAATAGGTCCTATAGAAAAAATTTGTCATAAAAAAAGTCACTAATTGTAAATCTTAGCGATAATTTATAAAAATCATGACAAAAAAAGTCACTAATTATCAATTTTTAGCGACATATATAACAAATTGTTACAAAACAATTATTTTTTAGCGACAATTTTACCAAGACTTATTTTTAATGAGACTTGATGGGAATTAAGTCCAACTATTAGGACGTATTGGTAATTTACATTTTCTCAAACAAAATTGGGAAAAATTAATAAAAATAATAATAAATTTGACTTTTATAATAAAATAAATCTTATGTTTTAGTTTTATTAAGTAATTCCTTAATTTATTTTTAATCTAAATGATTTGTATATTTTCATCAAGTAAATCGAAAGAAAAAGAAAATTTATTCATTAAACTCAATG